TTATTCCTTGTTGCTGCGGCTGTATAAATACGACATTGTTTTGAAGAATGTGTCAGGGAAAAAAAAACTGAAAGTGATCATCTTCTTCTTTGGTAGATACGACTCCTAGCTAGAACAGAAGTGAATCTTATAAAGCAAAGGATCATGTCTCACATCGCCGTTGAGAGGAATCGAAGAAGGCAAATGAACGAGCACCTTAAATCCCTTCGTTCTTTAACCCCTTGTTTCTATATCAAAAGGGTAACTCTCATGTGACCGATCGTATTGATCCCTCGATTTCTCAATTCCGTTTAATTATTATTGGTTTTAATTTGAAAGAGTTTGGTGCTTTTTCTTGTTGATCACTAGGTGTGCTTTCTTTGTTTAATCATATTATGTTGAAAGGGTCTAATTCTATCTAGATTCATGAAATTTTGGGGTTTTACAACAGTTGAAATTTTTTATATAAGCAAAGACGAAATTTGTGCAAGAGCAAAATATTTTTAGATACGTATGGGATCATGCATGGTTACCCTTTAATACTGGATATCCCCGACTTACTAATTTCGGAAAAATATGTTATGATCATGTCATTTTCATTTTATATGTATGTATGTGTTTATGCATATACAACTCTCTTTTAGCTTCCAAAATCAGATTAGTCGCATGCACGCACCAATATATCCTATTCAATAATATGGTCTTGTTTCCCATGATTGATCGGTATTAGGGAGATCAAGCTTCGATAATCGGTGGAGTGATAGAGTTCATCAAAGAGCTGCAGCAATTGGTCCAAGTTCTTGAGTCCAAGAAACGTAGAAAGACTATAAACCGGCCTTCTTTTCCTTATGATCACCAAGCAATTGAGCCATCCGTTTTGGCAGCAGCCGCCACCACCCGAGTACCCTTTAGTCGAATCGAGAATGTAATGACCACAAGTACTTTCAAGGAGGTAGGAGCATGCTGCAACTCTCCTCATGCTAACGTAGAAGCCAAGATCTCTGGCTCCAACGTGGTACTGAGAGTTGTCTCTAGGCGAATCGTGGGGCAGCTCGTGAAGATCATCTCTGTCTTGGAGAAGCTATCTTTTCAGGTTCTACACCTCAACATTAGTAGCATGGAGGAGACTGTCTTATACTTTTTCGTTGTTAAGGTACATATATCTACATTTATATAACATATGAAGAAAATATTAGTCTAATCAATATACCAACCAATTATAAACTCATTATATATACACCATGACATTAGATTGAATTTGGAGTTATATACATAATGCGAGTAAAATTCTCCTAAATAAAAAGCCAACTATATATTGCTAATCGATCGAATATGATGTCTGTCTTGGCGTGAAGTTAGTAAGTACTCGTAACCCAATTTTGCTAGACTGAATATAATGTTGCTATACACAAAAAGTAATCCGATCCATATATAGTAATAAGCTCAACGTATAAGTAAGTAATCAGAAAACATCAATATGAGTCTTTTGTTTTTTAACTCGTTGAAACTAAATTAACATGTGCAGATAGGATTGGAGTGTCACTTAAGCTTGGAGGAACTAAGTCTTGAAGTTCAGAAAAGCTTTGTACCTGAAGGGATCGTCTCTACCATTTAGAAACCAAAATGTGTATCGTTTTCTTTTGGGTTTAGACTGTTTAGTTATCATGGTATCGTTACATGAGCACACGTACTTGATACTTTGCTTAAAATAAGCTCCTCCAAACTTTTTTTTTTTTTTTCAGTCACTTAAGTTTTTACTTAGTTTATTTTCGTATCTGAACTCGATCAAAGTTGTAATTTCCCATAAATAAATGATAACAGTTATACCTATATATAATTGTAACACTAGTAACCTAACCATGGATCGGAAATGTGTTAAGATAGATTGATTGTGCTAATCAGCACTACATATGTAAAGCTTTAAGGTTGTGTATATTGATGAAGAAATGTATATACACGATATATATAGTACTGGTACATGAGAGTCTCATCATATATATATATATATATATATATATATATGTACGTAAGTGATTTTTTTTTTTTTTGGGGACAAATACGTAAGTGAATTTAAGATGGCACCATTCGAAGAAAAAAAACATATTGTAGAGTTCCTTAATTTAGACATTGACGGCAAAGAAAAAGTTTAGACATTTCGTGAGCAATATGGCATAATTTCGCAGATCCAAACTTATAGAACTGAAAATCTACAATAAATAAAATCTGGAATATCTCATTATAAAAACCAGAGAGTTTTGGAGTACGAGTCTTATGAGTATAGTCTTTGTAATATATGGATTCTTTTAAGTTGGTAAAGTATATAGTAAACATAATGTGAGTGTATGACCTCATTCCGGACGTACATTTAAATTGTTTGAGAGAAATTATTTTTTTTTTTACGTACTTTTGTAAAATTTGGTTTAAAGTCACACAATCTGTCACGTGGTGCTACCGGAACCATCCATATCTCTAGTGATTCTGTGATTGTGACATTTTTATATGCTCACATCATTCTCTTTTTTTAATGTAAATTTCTTTTCCAAGGATATTTTACATGTGTACAGTAATGTATCATTTCCCAAACAAGTTTATAACAAACACTTTAATCTAAATAATAAATAGGAAAAAAATTAGCGTAAAAAGCTTTCGTATCACAGTTTTCTGTAGGATTAGTTAAATGAACTTTATTGTGAGATAAACAAATATTAATTTCTTTATATACAAATATTATTCTACTTTAAAATTATATATAAAAAATTACGTCTGATAATTTCTGTATAAACAAAAAACGTAATAATTGACGCATGAACAAATTTTATATAGACACTACATTATAAATAAAAAAATTGCAAAAAAGCGGATTGTCAAATTCCACATGATCAGTATCACGAAATGTGGCACACTCTGAGTTGTCGAATTCAATATGATATGTAATATCAGTGTACATACTTTACATCAATCCAAATATAATAATATCAAAATCGAATTATCGACCCACCAACAAAATCTCACGCACTGCCCTTCGTAATTAATCTCACGTTTCCTTCACAAAACCCCTCTATCTATTTTTCTTAAATCCCATTTTAAAAATATATGCTCGTAAGTCGTGACCCTATTCGTGTCCTTAATTTTGATTTGATTCTCTTCTTCTCATAATCTTTATTTTATTAATCGGCGCATATAACGGATATGATTATTTTAGATTTTACTTAAACTACAATTAGATGAGGCTGATAGCATGTAAATTACTACTGAGGAGCTGATGAGTTTTCATGGATTATTATTATTATTATACGTATCTCAATAAAATTATGCACTCAGCTGACTTCACTTTCCTTTCCCTTAGTGTCGGATGCACCATGTTGATTTCAGATTTGCAGTGAGTAAAACGTGGATATGTGTTGAAGTTTTTGTATCAATGGTTCCACTTCTTTTTTTCTTTGTTGTTGGACAAGTAGTACTTGTCACAGTCATCCTATAGGGGTATATGGGTCAGTCGACCATGATGAGGATGAGAAACAGAAATATACCAAACTTTTGTAAACCGAGATTATCCGAACCACTATATATGACTGCTAAAATAGTAGCACCCACTCCAACTTTTTTTAATCTTTCTATTGTATTTTTAGAACTTTAGTAGTATATAGGAACTATATATTATCTATACTCTAAATATATATGTGTTGGAATTAGTAGAAAAAGAGAGCTCATGGAGTATTTTTCTACTTGGATCTTAGAATGTACATTAATTGTAAAGATTAAACAAATAAATTAATAATCAAGCAAATAGATTACCCTTGAAAAGGTTCATTAAATGTAAAGATTAAAGTGAGAATTGTTAATGAAATTAAATAATGAGGATTAGGTAACATGTGAAAACGCTCGTGGTTCAATTATTGATATGTTTATCGAGTTAAGTATTTTAGTTGGACCATCGGTTTCTCTTGATTGATACTACTATAGTTAAAGTGGTTTGCTTAGTTACTTATGTTGTTGTTTACACCTTTCACAGTAACCAATTATTGTCTTTCTTCTTCACCAAAACTTTTAATCTCTATAATTGTCAACAAATCAAACACAGTGAAGTTGAAGGCAAAAATAGTTAAATAATAAAAACATAGTAATATAGTCAAAAAAAACATGCTTGCACACATACCATATTGACGGCTCTCTGCTAAAAATCATTTGGAGCCGAGCCTTAAAAAGCTTCTTTGCAGTATTACATATTTACATATATAGTATTATCATGTATATATATGGTCAACGTTTTGTGAGTGAGTTAGTTGACATGGAAACTCTAAATCTTAGCCGTCGATTCATAAATCACAGCTGTCCAATAGACATATATAAAACTCAACTTTTGGGTACAAGTTTTAACGATCGCATATTTAACTCAAGAATTATATAATAAGAGACTTTTTCTGAATGAATTAAAAGCATAATAAAAAAAAAAAGGAAAAAGG